GTTACGGCAGCCCCTGATCGGCGCCCACAGACCTTCAGCAACTAACACTTGCCTCGGGGAGCGCTATTAACCTCAGCAATTAATTATGAAGTGAGTGTTCATAGCCTGGTAGTCTAACATGCCAGGAATGGAGTATTTCTAAATTTCTGCCACCTTCTGGGACAAGAGTTTGGGCTGAAGGGTTTTTTGGTGTGTTTTTTTGGTTTTGGGGGGTTTTTTTGTTTTTTTTTTATTTGTTTGGTTTTCCGTCTCTTTTGGTCTGAGTTATCAGAGGTTCCTGAGGACACAGACTGTTAAGAAGGGGTCAAACCATTAACAAAGGCCGTTGTTCTCCACTGTATTAGCTGGGAAGTTATACAGGTCTTGGGAAAAAAAACAAATAAAAAAACCAACAAATAAAAAAATCTTTATTCCTCATTCGGCTCTGGGATACGGGTCATAACTGGCTAACTCTCTGAGCTGCCCTGCAGGCTACAGAAGAGCTGACTTTCTAATGCAAAGTAATAAATAACTCAAACCTGTTCTTCCCTTTCAGCATTACAGAGGGGCTTACTCATCCCCATTTTTGTGGGCTACATTTAAGTGATCTACATCAAGCCACACGCCACATCCTGCATTATCGATCTGGCAGTGCCGATCCCTACCAGTTCTGCACGACTTATCAACGGCAGCGTAGAAACATCCCTTTGGATTAACCCTCACCACGCACAGCGGCCAAATGGTGCTCAGAGTTATCAATGTTATATTTTTTTTGAACAATTTATCACGGCACGGTCCAACATGCATAACACAGCGATGGCCCCTGTATTATAATCGCATATATCATCTGTTCCTCCAGGGGATACGATAACACGCGGCGCTGACTACGACAAAACCGGGCAAAGGCGGAATAATTCCAACTTTTTGTTATAAATGGAAAGCATAACCCCAGACAGACGGACAGAAGCTGCGTGGCTCTGCGTGGCGCTGAGAGCAGTGCGGCAGCGAGCGGTAGTCTCGGAGGGGGTGAAACACTTACTGTTGGCTATGTTGGAAGCAGTGTAACTGTCTGCCATTCCTGAGACCTGGCTGGCAATGCTGATCTCACTGGCTCTCCGGAAGCCCCTGAACTGAGGGGCTGAAATGGGGGTGGACAGGGACGCGCTTTCCATGAAGACGGCACCATGAGACTGAACAACATCTGCTACAAAGTTGAAACAGGGAAATCAAAATATTAGACCAACAGACAGAGGCTGGGCAAGATGAACTCGAGGGGAGGAAGGAGGCAAACAAGGCTGGTAGGCGCAAAAATCTTTCAGAACTGATTGGAATGAAAAATACACCAAACCAAAAACCCACAGCATTTCATCGGAGCTCTGGTTTGAAAAGAAAGCAAACACCACAGCAGGCAGAGAGACATGTGGCTGGAGGAGCAGTCTTTGATTGAGAGAAGCAAAATAAGCAGCTCAAAAAACAAATCCAAAACCCCAAAGAAAAATCCAGGCAGACTTATTCAAGCAGCGATAACAGAAGCATGTGTCATACATACAGATGTGAATATACGCAACTTCATATATTCACATCAAGACAAAATAACCCAGGTAAGGAGAACAACAAAAAACAACCTTAGAAAGGGGCTATTTGTTTTCTTGAAACATTTAGACTTAAATGAACATCTCCAAGATGGAAGCATTAGTGCAAAAAAAAAACCCAAAACCCTTAAAAAAAAAACAACCCAAGAAAACCTTTTCATGCCTGGCAGGGACTAAATTTGAACTTGTATTTTATTGCTAATGGATACAGCCAACACTCGTTAAAGTAAGGGCTATTGAAAGAAAGGAGTCTGGTGCCGAGCACTTACATCTCCAATCGGTGTTGGCAGATCAGGGAGCGCTCAGTCTCTGTGAAAACAGAGCTTCTTTTGTACAACGTGCAAAGTCTGGATTTTTAGATCCCAACCTGAGGTTTACCAAGTGTGGCCTAACCCTTTAGTACATAAATACAGAAAAGGAGGATTTAAAGTCATGCTCACATGGACCTTATACACGTATTGGAGGGAAATGGACCTAATACGTGCAGGACTGGCAAACCGAGAGATGCTGAAAGTCACGACAGAAATCTCTGCATTTCAGTTTTCTCCCTCTAACAGCGGTGGGAACACCCAACCCCTCTGTGGACGCTACGAGGCCGAATTAAGTGTCTGTGGGATATCCCAAGATCTGCACTGCAGAGGATTTGTAATGCCAATACCAAGGACTTCACAGCAGGCAGCACCGGTACGACACTAAGGTGCAAAAGCAAAGCCACTTACTAGCATTTTAACATTGCCCACCTCTGCTGTACCTGAGCAGCAGCATCTGAACTTTATCCCCAGGTATCAGACACAGCACAGGTTTGCACCCAGCCGGGCCGCAGATGCCACAGGGAACGCGAGCACATTGCTCCCACACACCAACATCCTCCGCTTATTTCAGCCAGTTTAGATATCCTTGGATTTGATCCCAGTATGCGGTTGACACGGGGCATTGTTTTGGCAACTGGTTTATTTTAATAACGCTCTTTTTTGCTTGGGGCTACTGATTTACTTCCTCCGATCCCTCAGTTCGCAGCAGCAGTGTCTGCGCCCACACAAATCCTGCTGCAGCGTAGGGAAAGGGAACGTATGAAGCAGAAAATGTGTAGCTAAGTGTTGGGAAAAGAGTTCTGTTCTCTGCAGGGAAAATCAGGCCACAAGCTGCTTTGTGTAAAAGCTTCATGGACTGCAAGATCTGAGCCTTAGCGGGAGCCTGACCTGATGATGAGCTGCACACACTGCCCACGTTGTGCCTGAAAGGCCATTACCAGCATCACTTTCTCACCACTTTCCTCCTTTTTTCACCTTGCCTTGAGCTGCTGGCTGTCAAGGCTGCTACCAGTATCCGCAACCCAGCCAGCCCCACTGGGCCAGCACGGCTTTCGTACTGCAGAAACCACCAGCACAAACAAGAGGAGAAAATTCAAGCAGAGGCTGCACTTGGAGAATATGAGCCAAGCCAGGAGCTGGCTGCATTCAACCCCACAAAGGTCTCAAGGGTAAAAAGGGTCTCGTTCCCATCACTGCATGCCCTGGGACAACCCTCTCCTCTCTTCCCTGGTTGCCCCTTCCTCTCCTTTCCCTTGCTTATACAGATTGCGCGATCTTTCTGCAATTATGCCCTTGTGTCACATCAAACGGGTGCCCCAACATGATGATGACCATCAGCTTCCCTGAACTTGGTCAGATGCAACGAGAGGATTGGCTTTGTCTGCACTAGGAAAAATGCCAGGTCCAGATTTAACTAATACCTACCAGTGAAGCCTGAACTTCTTCCTCTCCCTTAAATATAAAAAAACATCTGTGGCTTGAATTAGGAAGCAGCTGGAAGACACGCTAAAGAGCATTACAGCAATGCCACTCAGGAGAAAAGGCTGGGCCAAATGTGATGCTGCCTGGGTTGATCATGGCTCCGGCTCCCTTAGCGAGTCTACGCTTAGCTCTGCCTCAATTTTATCTCCTTCTTCAAGAATCCAGAAAGTGGAAAGAGAGTAAAGGAAGAAACAGTGGTATTTTGGGTTTGCTCTTTTTAGTCAGTCTCGCTTTCCTGGGCCTGACTGGGGATTTTTGAATACAATAAGTCTGAAGCAAAAAACCCAACCTCAACGGCCCTTCCAACACCATCCTAGGTAGTGTCGCCGTGGGAGTAATTTTCACTCCTGTAAGAGCCTAAACCATTTTAGCCTTACTGAACTGTTCGGTATTGCCTGCGTTGGTGGCAGGAGTCTGCTCTGCAGGGGATGAAGCGCTGGACGACAGCAGCGCTCACCCCCATGCTCCAGCCCACTTGGGTTGCTCTCATGTTTCTCCCTTTCCCAAGCTACACACCCTAAAAAAGGGCAGTTTCTAAGAAAAACGAGGGCCAGGAAAAGGCAGGGCAGGAAACGCGGACAGAAAACCTGTTTTATGCATTACTGCCCCTTCAGCCAAGCTTCCTCAACTCTAAAGCTGCAGCGACAGCAACTTCCAGATGAAGCCCTGGGACTTGACTCACAGAAAAAAAACCCTAATAACATATTTCCTAAACTCCATGAATTCTTTGCACCAAATCCCTTGTGCAGCACCACTTTTGCAATTTTGAAACTTCAAGGGGGCTTTCTTGGGGAGTGCGGTGACCAGGGTGGGACATCGCAGATGCTGCCACGCCAGCACAGACTGACACCCAGCACCAGCAACCGCTCCTGCTCCTGAAGGGCCACGTCTTCTGCATTGCAGAGGTGGCATCCCCAGCCACAGCTCAGGTCCTGACGACGGCAGGGAGGTTTTTCAGACAAGCACTTCAAGCCCAGGGGGAAGCTGGATGGCTGGACCAAGACCAGCAGTAGCAGGACTTTCATCAAGATTAGCTGTTCATTTAGGTCACTAGGTAAGGGCAGAGGTGCCCCCGGTTTACTGCACTGGCTGAAGTTACCTTGTACTGTCTGAAGGCAGACTTTATCAGAACAAAGAAGCTTCAGGAAGAGGACAGCTGGCTCGAGCGGTGCTCTGAGCATCCTCTCTCCCAGCAAAGGATCTGCTCAAACTGCAGCACGCACACGTCGGGCCAGTGCAACGAACTGAGATTGAACTGCGCTTCCAGAAGAGGTTACACAAGAAGCAAAATCACTTTTTTTTTTTTGCCTAGCTATGGTTCTTTAATACTCATTTCAGTGCTGTGCCTTTTCATTTATGGACTCGTTTGTCAATGTTCTTACTAATTGTTTCCCACTAAGTGAGCGGCACTGGGCCATCCTCCTAATGTACTGCTGGCACTGAGTTAAGTCCTTGGGGTATCCGAATGGCAGATTTCAATATGTGCTATTTGCAGGCTGAGCTGTGGCACTGAAGTGGGAAATACTGAAAGCAATCAAAGATATGTAAAGTTCAATAAAAATAAAAAAATAGAAAAGCCAGCCAGCTGCTTAGCACAGGCCAGACCCTGCTTGCACTGGAGTCACTGGTCAGCACTGGGCACTCTGCAGTCACTACCCTGAGATCAAGAGCAATGTAGATTTCTGTTGTACGTTAAGTTTTTATGATTCTGGAAATTTCCCACAGTCCAGTGGCTGAACTGGGATTCAGCACTCGCTACAGTCAAACCAAGCACCACTTGGCCACACTGTGCTCTTGACACGCAAGGTAAAGAGCAGAGAAGCTTCTAAAAGCTCTGTCCTGACAGCAGGAAATATCAGATGACAGCTAAATAGCATTTCATCAGTGACCTCCAAAGTGATTAATTAATAGTACCAGATCCTTTCCCTCTGCTTTGTTACAGAACATCGCAGCACAGGCAACATGGCAACTGCATACCGAAAAATCATCTACATCTTCAAAAGACAAAGGGAAAGACTATCTGGAACAGTCAGCAATGTTGCCATCCTGTATGACCACATAACGTATGGGGACTGCTCATAAACAGCAAGGGTCAGCTTGTTAAAAACCAAGGCAGCAGAACCAAGCTCTCAATGCAAAACACTGAACAAGGGGTGAGAAAGGGCAAATAAGACACACGGGGAAGAAAAAACTAAAACAAAAGTCAAATCTTAATAAAACTGCAGATGTAGCACCAGCCACAACCAGAGTAAATTAGGCCATGCAGCATTTATGATGGAAAATAAGGCAGAACAAATGCATCAAACTTTGCTTTTAAGGCAGAAGTCGAGAAATTAATTTTAAAAAGCCAACATGTATAGCCACCTTGGGGTCTGAAAGCCTCATTCACTGTATTCAGCAGAGCCACAAGGAGCGTCCAAACGTGAAACACTCAAAGGGACAAAATCTGTTCTGACACAGACATTAATTAGACTTCTGGCCACGGTGCAGCGTGGCTGACTGCTGGGGAGAGACACGCTGCAGACAACCAACCCATTCCCAGGGGGTCCTGCGCACGGTGCGTGCCGCACGAGCAGGGCCACCCAGGGACTATGTCTTGCTCTGCCAAAGCCTCTTTCCAGCAGCACAGCCACCACAGACAGAAAAAGCAAGGACGTGGCAGCAACCTTCCCTTCCAGCATTGACACCGGAATGGGACAGTTTGTAATCCCAACTCGTGCTTTGCACGCTGGGTCTCCCCGACTGGGTAAACCCAAGGGTGATCTCAAGCGGTTATTTCATGTGGCACGGCCTGAGACACAGCATGAAGATTTCAACTCCTGGAGGCAACAGTATGATCTCCAAAAAGCACCCCAAGTACCCAACACAACAGACAATACAAAAGTGTAGATTACACACACTCAGCAAAACCAGCACTTTTATTGGAAACATCTTGCCAATTCAGTACGGGAACGGGGATACTTGTTTCCATGAAGCTGTCCTGGTGCTGGAGAGCACCCAGAGGGCTACTTTCCATGAGGAGGATGGGATTGTTCTGGATTGTCTCAACTAGAAGCAGATGGGGAAAAAAACAAAACAAAACAGAAGGACAAAGAACAACAGACATGCGGCCACAAAGTGTTAACATACAAACAGTTACAACTGAGCACTTCAACTATGAGTCTTCAATGGAAGGACAACCTTCAAATAGAATAAAAGAAACGAAAACATGGGTGACTTTCCAAAGAGACTCACATCAGAGAGATTAACTGGTAGCAGAGGAGAGCACAACGATGGCATTTCAACAACAAAAGAAAAGGGAGTCCTCTTAACCAGCTTCTCCAATGAGCCAAATCCATAAATACCCAGCAGATCCAGAGAAATCTTTTACTACGTGGAAAAAAAAGTACACTCTAAGGGGAGCTTTACTTGAATCAGACTCACAGCCTACACAGTGCAAAGCACGGGAGTAAGCAAGGATGTGAATTTGATTTCACTCCGCAAGTTGGTTGTAATGAAACAGGGACCCAACATTTAGTACAGATGGGAAAAGGAAAAAAAAAAAGTCTAAGAGGCTTTCTGAATCGTGGACTTTAAATAAGCTAGCTATCTGCACGAGGAGATATGCACAAGCAGTGTTACAGAAGGTTTTGTACATAACTAATTATAATTGAGCACCTGAATTTTATGTGATCACCAAATCATATAGCTTAATTATAGCAGCAATTAACTTTTCTGGAGCGCCCTACAGTGCACACTAACTTCAGGAGCAGTTTTGCAAATCTTGGTTAGAACAGTCCTTCTGGGTAATGTGTAAATCATAAGACTCAAATTTTGACTCTGATGGAAAGGAATAGCCTGTTACTTTATGATAAGCAAATGAAGAGGCTTTGTCTTACATGAGAAGAGAATTTAAAGCTGCTTTTTTGTCAGTTTTATTCATCATGGCAGAGCAGCATCTCTTCACATAACAAGCCTCAAACCTGGAGAGGGTTTTGAAATCACTCTACCCTTCTCATAGTTGAGCTAATTGCTGTTTAACTCCTCTCCACTACGTAGCAAGTGTCTCTCTCAACACAGCCAACTCAAAGGTCTAGGGAGGCACAGCAAACTAGAGAGATCCCTGCTGCTGCACAGGCTGACAACCAGAACGCAAGTTGCTCCGTGTCAGTGGGGCTTTTACCTCCGGCTTCAGTGAGAATAGGGAATTTGAAATGTATTTAAGAGGAAGAAGGTAAGATGTTTAGGTTTTATGGGGTTTTTTTTAAGAAGGCACTTGCAGCTGATGCCTAGAATATACCCTAAAATCAAATTGCTTTTGAAGTTGCTATAGATTCCCCGAGCTGCTGTAACTGGACCGGGTACAAATGTAATTGTGGGTGGATCCATTTTTAAAAAGTGTTGCTGCAAGATCTTTGCTAAATTTGACAAGTGAGTGGGGCCTGCAGAACGTATTTTTTTCACTTTATTAAACATGGGGTTTAGTTTATGCCCATTTAACAAATCAGACGTCCAGATTTAGCAACTGCAATACAATCTTTAAATATACAGATACATAGGAGACCACTGCATTGCATTTTCAATTTACAAGTGATGCAGAGTATCACCAGAATTATTCAGCTCTAGATATGTATTTCTCTTCATTTAGTTCTGCACAATTCAAATATGAAACAAACAGAAAGCTACCAGAGCTTTGGGAAAAAACCAACCACCAAATCCCAATCTTTCTAGCTGGTGGCTTTGATACTCTACTCCGGTTTGCCAGCGTGATTTCTTGTGTGCTGTAACTCTAGTTTTATAGCAGAGACTCTTAGTTGCAATGTTGGCTTTAAGTAGCCATTGACTAACAACCTCTAACAAGGGAAAAATTACGGTGCAATTTTTCTTCCTGCCCCAAAGCCCCGACCCTGGAGGGAACCAAAGCTTTAGGTGAAGCAGAAAGGTCAAATTTAGTTCTGCACAGCGGTGAGCTTCCCTGAGAGCTCCTTGCAATGAGAGCCTGCACTGAAATGGCAACGGACATGAGGGTCTAGGCACAGAAGTGAGGTGAAGATGGTAGGAAATATAACTTATTTTATTAGATCAACTGCAAGAGCACTGATGTAATGGGAGCTGAGGCAGGGCATGGTCAGGACACAGTTGTTTCAAATGCAACCCGGTAAGACAAACGGGCATGCACACAGCCATTTTAGACTTCGTTACTGCTGCAATTGGGGTAGAGCAAGTGAAGAGGCCACTGATGGCAGAGGAATCCTAGGTATCCTAGGAAGACAAAGTGTCTCATTGGCAAGGTGGCAAGGCACTGTCACCAGCCCCCTGATCTGCAGTAGCCCTTCCCATGAAAAAGCACAGGATGCAACCAAGTAAATCATCTCGTTATCTCCCTGTTGACTCTGCTCCTTCCGCTCTTCACTGGCTCTCCAAACATCAAAGTCCTCAACTCAGCCAAGTTAATCGTGTTTCACAAGAACCAGCTTGGGTCTAAGACAGAGACCTTCACAGAGAGGTCACCACATCATGTTTATCAGCTGCTGATGGCCTTTGTGTGACAAATGAAGGGCATATGGGTCACAAGGCGCTGATTTTGTTGGAAGAAAACTACTTTTCTAGTAAATTGGGAATATAGCTAACATTATAGGGCCAATTCTCTTTCTTGTCATTCCCAATTGCTTTGATAATTTAATGTAAGCATGGATATAACCCTTTAGACAGCTATTATGGATCCAAAGTGACTTACCCAGAACAGCAGAATTGCCATCACCCAGTGGGAACCTCTGGTAGCGGGGAATATTAAAGGGGGGCAAAAGGTAGAACCTCCTCTCCAGAAGAGGCTCGAGGCGTGAAGCAGATGGGTCTGCAGGGTGGAACAGGTTATAGACCTGCTGACAAGCTGGTCTGAGCTGAAAGACTAAAAAGATGAAGAAAATAAAAACCCTCAGGTATCAAAAGGTTAACTGTTAGACTATTGTAAATATGTCTGTAAAAAGGAAAACCGTTGGGTTAGAAAAAAGTGCAATTTATCATCTCCCTCATCTTCCAGTTTAGTCAATTGAAACAATTTATTACAATATTTATAGACTCAAGAATTGCCCAGTATTTTTAATATTTGGAAGTACATTGCAAATAAATTGTATAATCAGTACTGGCTAGAGCACAGAGTGATCTGCCTCCTTACGGTGCAATAAATATTATATATAAACGTTTGGGTTTTACCAGTTTGTCTCATCAAATTACTGGATTTGCAGCAGGAGATGCTTACACCATCCACTAAATGAGCTCAGCAGTTTACATCAGGACTTACTGTCAAGAGCTGGAATGACAGTTTTTCGCAATGCAAGAACCAGACCCAAGGGAGAACCAAAGAGGAAGAAGTCAGTGATCTCAAATTCAAACTTTCCAATATTTCCTCCATCCAACATCGTAGAGCTACTAGACCGCCTGGATCCTGGGTCATTTCTGAGCACACTAGAATGTAAACTAGGAAAAGAACAGAAAATAAAGTAAAAAATTTTATTCACACTGTTTTTTCATAATTGAAGGCCAGATAAGTGATTGACAGTGAATATAATTTCTATCTCTTTCATGAAGGAGCTGTGCCAATCAACCCACCATACCTCAGTACTATAGTTTTACTACCCAGCAAAACGTCCCCCCAAACAATTACCCCATTTCATTGGTATAATTTACACTGCACAAATCCGAGCTTCAAGTGGGTTCATTTACACACTCCTATCTCCTCAAAATGTTTTTTCTTTGAGGAGTCAAAACCTTCGTTGCTGCTAGCAGAATAGTCATTTGCAAGATAAAATAACAAGCAAGCCAAAATTACTAGAGTAGCAGGGAAAAAAAGCAGGTTTACAGTAATTCACCCATTACACACATTACTGCTATGCTTTCCGGTTGTCAACATTTGAGTTCCTTCCATCACCTTATTCTCAAACGGTACGGAAAGCTGTGCTTACCCGTTTCTTCCTCGTGGAAGTAGTTGGACAAATGTTACAGGATTGAAAAGGAAAAAGAAAAAAAACGGGAGAGGAGAGAGAAAAAGAAAGATGAAAATCTGCAAGAGGGTTTCTAATACCATTGTGGACCAAGTTTGCAGCACAGCTTCCATGCAGGTTGTGGCATTCACTGGGGATGGGAATTTGGGGTAATTAACTCAGCCGCCATATGGTAAATTGTATTTACTGTGCACCCAGGGCTCTCCTGCTTCTCTTCTGTCCATGAGGCCACATCTGTCAAGTTATTACCAAACTACTTTTCAACCCCAGCCCAACAACTCCAGGAAACTGTACTTAAAAAGATTAATGATACGAAACATGTCTAACTTCCTCCTCTCCTCTTTCAGGTGTCAAATCTTTTTGTTAAATTGAATCTGTGTGCAGTGCAGGCTGGGCAATACGCAGATTTAACACAGAGATTTAAATTCACGTCTCGCTTAGACACTGAGGAAGAAGAATCAGGAACTCTTAGGTGAAAATCCCAGGAATCCACTCCCACGTTGGGAAGCAGGGCTGCTTTGCAGTCTAGATCTGGGATTAGACAGCGAGATGCCAGATGGGTAACACTAATAACCTGGTTCACTAAAGGGTTTCTGAGACTCTTCTGTTACCACCCAAAAGTCATAAGCTGTAATTTCTTCTGCTCTCCAGGTTCTACAGATTCAGACAGCAGCCTTGCTGAGTTATCGTCGTTATAATTAGAAGCGAAGAATTGAAGACAGATTACCAGCAGTGACTTAACAGGGTGTTTGCAAACACTTTTCAAAGCATCTGAACAGGTTCTATAAAATATGTAGGATAAGTGGATACCACAGCAGTTGGGGTGGGTAAGAGGTTTACTGGCCTGAAGTCAGGGATGATGCAAATGCAATAGTCTCTTGCCAGCTCCGTGGCCACAAGTCAAAATCCCAGGTGGTCACCGCGTCTCCGCATGCAACAGCATTTGCTCATCAAGGCCACTTCTGAACGCAGCGTGCTGGCTGCCCGGCTGGGCAGTGACATCTCAGCACTGCTGCACTCATGGAAATAGGGCTGCTCACTCCTCACCATCTGTAGCTCTGGAGCAGTTGCTCGCACACACTCCTCTGGGATAGCCATTCAATAAATGAACAGCTAGAAATAGTCACAAATTTGGGTAGAAAAATGGGTTTCACTTGGACTTTGTTTTCCTGCTTTGGCAAATAATACATTATTCCAGAGACCGCACCTCTGCTGAACACCACTCCCAACAGATGCTAAAAAACCTTCTCCTCATGCCATGCTTGTGTATTCTCTAAAGGTGCACGCATGTGCACGCACAGTACTATTCTCCCCGTTACCAACCGCAGGGAAACAAGCTTACTTATGCCAGACATACGTGCCATGGGAAGTCAAAACAGTGATGTCAAAAGCGAGAGGAACAGGAGGTTACAGCAGTGACAGCTAAAACGAGCATGTTCCCATTTCTGTGATGTGAACGAGCTTCCCTGAGATCACGCTGCCAAGATGCGCAACGTTGAAATACATTTAAAAACAAGCCACCTTCAGTGAAGCTACAATTATTTTAGCTGACAAGACTGCAACGCATTAAATTTGCTGTGTGTAAGGAATACAAAGTTATTTACAACGCATTCAGTTTTGCCAAAGACAGGGTGACAGCAACAGGATTCAAATGAAGGCACAAAAGGAAAGACTATCCTGATGGCAGGTGTGTTGTGGCAGGATGGGTGCAAGGGGTTTTTGGTGTATTCCACCCGTCTTCCCACGGCATCTCTTCATGGGGAAGGGAAGAGAACGAGAGCACTCATACCGCTAAGTGATTTGGACAGCTTCTCTCTTTTTACTGGGAACTTGATAGTCTTTTTAGCAATCAAAAGGAATGAGAGCCAAGGGGAACTCTGAATCCGTCATGCTCCAAGCAACCTACAGTGCCCTGTGCTCCCTTTAAAAAGCAGCAGATGTACTGTGTGCATTAATTAAACAAGAGCTTATGGATTTCAGAAGCAAATCAACTCATTTACAATAATACAAGTACAGCACAGCCAGAAATAATGTAGTTGTGCAGAAGGACTGAATTTAAAAATAAATGTGTGATTGTAATCTCCAGATGCTGCTCTGGCTTGCTGGGCATTATCCCAGGGAAGGAGGAAGGTCTGATACATGAATAAAAATGAATGTCTTTGGCACAAGCTGAAATTTGCAATCGACACAGACAGAAAGGCCCCTGTACGCCAGGTTGCCCGTCTGCTGCGCCCATTAGGAAAACTTGGCTCTGTTCTGCCAATCTCCTGCACGAAGCCGCGTCACATCAGGGCTTGGTTTTTGTACGGGGTAAATCATTACTTAGTGACAGAGAGGCCGAAGGGTTTTTCTGCTGATGACTGTGCTGCTCAGTAATGACAGCTGTAAGCACAAGGTCCAGGGCTGGGAGTGATGCCCTGCCGTCACGCAGGAGGGGAAGAGGTGAATCGCTGCACCCGAGCCTCCCGTGCGCCAAGGAGCAGAGGGGGAGAGATGCAGAGAGAGCTCGTACAGCAGCTTCAACCTGCCCTTTCCCTCTGGGAATCTTGCTCTTGAGCCGTGGGAAGAGACCCATTTTTGACCCAAGGTCTAAAAGTAGATTTAAAAAGATATAAACCCCTAAAAGCAGTAAAGGTGCACCAAGTCATCAGCGCACTGAACACCGACAGTCCTTTCCAGGCTCCCCCCAGGTGCTTCATGCTGGGAGCAGGCGCAATGGAGCAGGAGGGACGAGGACAAAGCTACTTGAAACGACAAACTGCAATCCTTTATCATGCCAGGCCCAGCGCTTATTCTCAACTAGCCGTAAAACTGCAGCAAGATGCCAGCCCACTTTCCTTAGCTGAGTCCGTGCCCCTGAGGTCAAGAACAAGTTGGAGAAAGAGCACATTTTTGCACGACTCATATTTTTCTCCTGTAATACATGAGGCTGTTTTGATAAGGTAAGAACAAGACACTGATTGCCTTTTATTAACCTGCTGGAAATAGCCAAGAAGCTTATTGTGGTTTTTGTAAATGCAGTTGTCTTTCTGAATATAGTACCTCTGTGCACCGACGACATTCACTTTGATACTTTCTCTCTCCTATGAATCTTTTACAAGAGGGCCCCTGGCATGGCAAGGCAACACGAGTCCTGGTGCTGGAGCAATGATTGCAAGTAGTGAAGGAGGGGAAGAAGCGCGGGACAATCCTTCAGCTCAGCACAGGCCAAAAGGAACGGCCTCGGACACAGTTGCAATGCAGATAATGGTGTTTGCTGCGGGGGACGACACATCGGTCCCCAGTTCCTGGGACACGGGAAAGAGGGATTAAGAGGATGTTGCAGTTCCTCCAGGCCCGCAGGAGGAAAAGGTCTGGGTTGTCCAGTTCCACAGGCTGAAGATGATTCAGTCAGAAAAAGCCTCTGGGCTCACAGAAGTAATCCCTGAACAATGAGCGGCAATGGAAAGACCACTATGAAAGTTTCATTGGTTATGTTAACGGATAAGCTTCTGAAAGTTCATTTGAAGAAACTTAAGAATGTGATACCGGGGGCTTCAATAGTAACAAATTTGAAACACAATCTTGGTGAAACAGAGCAGCCCTGGCAGGGGACAGAATACAATCCCCTGGCCCTGCTCCATCCAGGGAACTTGGGTCGCTTTGCCAAGGAGTCACATGGACAGAACAATCCTCACGTGCACAGTGCAAGGTTGCTCCATGAAGCAGGCAACCAGCTAGGGTTCGGGATGTCTCATCCAGAGCATCCTGCCACCATGACAGCACAAACCTGCTCCTGTGACAGGAAAGGACACTGCAATTCAATCTCACACTTCAACTAGATCAAAATTAAAGGATACTCGGCTCAGCCCCACCTTTCCCAAGAACAGTCTAGCCAACTCAAAAATCAGCTCTCAGAGATGCTTTGAAATTAAACCAACACTGGATTCCCAGTTCCACCTCACCCTCTTCCCTCACAATCTTTCTACATTTGCATTATGAACTCCATCCTGCAACTGCAGCACAGCAAAAATGCAGTTACCCAACCGCCTCGGCTGTCAAGCAACAGGATGAAGGGTTTCTTGCCATTGTAATAAAGATGCAGTAGAGCAGCTGGATTTGCTCACTGCCACTGAGCAATAGTGCTGGTTTGTTGGTTTTTTTTAAATCTATACCCCTCTAATCTAAATTAAACACTTTCCTCCACCTTGCTTATCACAGGATGGTAAAGCAACACTTGGGTTTCACAGATGCACCAATCTCAGCTCAAGAGTATCACTGGTTCCGTTCCTTCAAAATCTTACCTTGAAAGAAAGGCTTGATGCTGCTTTATCGTGTCCAGTTCATAGGTTGATGAATCACTCCTTTTTCGTGGCAGCTGCTTCTTTGGATCTTCTCCGTTGCTACGGGGAATATCAATGTTGCTCCGGCTGAGGTGTCTGCTGGCTTCCAGATTAGAGCCACTGGAACAATAGCTGTTGTTCACCGTTATTCCAGGAGACAGGAGGTCGGTATCCTGGGATTTGAAATATACAGATTTAGCACTCTGACAGCTGAATCAGGAATACACCCACATTATAACCTTCTCCTTCCATCCTCCTTTCTCCATCTACCCCAAGATCCAGTTAAGGGCAATACAGTATCTCAGACCAAACCACCTCCTAAGGGTGTGGGTGACGCTTCACACCAGGGGGTGAAACATCCCTGTTCAGAGGAAGTGCACCCAAATTGAGACACATACGCACCTTAAGACATGTTTGCCATTGATGAGGAATAGAGTCTTTGTTGTTTCATGAAAAGATGAACTTAAAATCCTCACTAAAACCAGGGGCCATGGAGGTGCTGTGGCCAGCAGACCTATTCCCAGTAGACACTGGGAGCCAGCATTACCTGGACACTCACAACGCTTCCTCGCCGACTGCTGTTCTGGCTCTCGGACACAGTCTGATTGCTGTAGCATAAGGCATCAAATCCCAGGATTCCTCCAACACAGTCCCCTACCAAGCAGACCTGAAAAAGGCAATGTCCCTTGACTTCAGTTCAGAGATGACAGCTAAATGGAGTGCTGGATTATACCTAGGAAAGCTGCAGTAACGGGATGCCCAGTGCTCTCATCAGCAAATGTCATTCTGTCAATGAACATCCACTCATATCCTGTGGACTCTCGTTAGCTAACATAGCTAATGTGTTCTGGCTGTCCCCACCAGCCGACTGGAGTGAAGTGAAAGCAACACAGAGCGCTGCTCACAGCGCTAACTCCAGCCTCAGAAAACCAAGCTCGATTCCCTCCTTGCCAGCTGTCTGTGCTACTTCAGGCAAGCTTCCCTGTGCTTCTGTGTGTACCCTGAGGAGATTACGCTGTCCTGCCTTTATGAGTATTGAGCAGATAGGCACAATAAGGCACTGAGAACCCTGGGTAGGAGAGAGCTGCCTCGGTCCCTGTGCACAGCGCTGGCTGGGAACAAGCTCGGAGTGGGTAAATCACACTACAGCAGCGCAATGAGACAGCTAGTCCAACGGCTCAAACCTCCTGGGGCTAGAGAGTCACTTTGTGAGGCTCTCAAATGGTCTTTTATGGGGCACAGCAGCTGTGCCATCTCAAAAAAGAAACCCGCTTCTGTGAGCTGGTGAAGGGCCTTTAAAGACAGGAATACTTAAACAGCCTTAGTTTGCAGTGGGAGTAGAGATCACGTTTAGTAACCAAGGTAGCATTCCTGATTTGGAAAGGTATGTCATGCCAAAAACTGATTGACTTTATAGCTTTGTAGCTTCATTTCTAAACACAAGCTCAGACTTTGCCTTGAATCCCAAAGGTTCAAGACAGACCATAAGCAATAATCTCTCTCAGAAAGAAAGAAATGGAAGCACAACACTTTCCTATTGCAGCTCAACACTGTCGTGTTTCCATCCCTCCAGAGAGATGGATGAAAAAAGAAAGCTTCAGAAGGAAATTGGTTCACTTGCTCTTCCTTTCTCCGTGACTATTAGCAGCTGCTGGCTCACCTGGCCATTGAATGACATGCCCTCCTGGGATCTGATGAACTCGCTGTAGGCCTGGTTGGCTCTGACAATGACTGTGGCTACCGCCTCTTGGTACTGCGGGGATGATGTTGCTAGCAGAGGGAGCGCAGCAAGGGGAATGTGGTCCTGGCTGTTGGACAGGCAGCCTTCGTCATAACTGTATGGGCTGAGGCTGGAGGGGGCAAGAGACATTAGAAATATTCAGCCTAACACACAAAGTGGGGAAAACCATTTGCAGACAGTACAGTCAGTATTGCAGTTCATTAAAAATATGCCTCAAGATAGAAAAGCCATTTATTCTACTGTGAATGGGTGAGAGCCTAATAAATCTTTCCCTCTCATCAAACGTAAATCTTCGAGGACAACATACTTACATTGATAGAACAACCCTCAGACAAGGAATTAAAGCCTTAGTATTTATTGGATTAATTAGAATAAATCAATCTCAGAACTCTTGCTTCATGATTACCGTATTCACTGCAGCTAAGTATGAAATCGAGATTGAATGCCTCGCTAGTATATTAATAAAGTGCATTCTCAAAGCGTGGTCAGAGCTTTCAATACAACATGCAGAACATTTCAGGGATGTGAGAAAAGAAACACAAAACAAGAGTGAAATTTTATACGTTTATCTCAGTGACAAAGTAGCATCAACTTACCTGGACACCAGGGAAAATGCTTCGGAGCAGATGGCTGGGCAAGGGACTAGCCTGATGGCAATGTGTCCAAGAGCAGCTGGGTAATGTACCCTCATCACTGTGTCAAACACTGTCGTGATGGTGTTGACATCCCCTTGCTTAGAGCTCTGGTCACCACTTCCTGAGTCCAGGATGTTCCCTCCGTGAAGTACCAAGAGGAGGACATGGATTTTACTTGGCTGCATTAATGGCTGCACTGATTCATCCTAGGTGGGAATGAAAGAGAGCACACTAGAAAGGCTTATTTTGCAAAGAGGTTTTATTTGGTCCAAATGCATTTCCTGCAAATTTTATCCCCTTTTCTCCTCCAACCTCACACACGGTGCGTACAATACATGCACTATCCACATCAAGTCCAGTTAGGGATGAGGCAAACAACAGTCTGTGAAGCAAAGTACTTCAGTTTGGGCCATCGACACACAAAGATAATTGCAGTGTGAGCAGGACCGCGGAAGGACAAGAAGTACAGAGCCTTTCTGAACAGAGACTGAAAGAGTTCAGCTTGATTTGCTTAGCAAAGCTACCCAAGACCCAAGAATGAAATGCCTGCTCTCAAACACAGTGGAGATGAGTAAAGAAAGCTCAGGAAGGAAGGGAGGCACTTAAGTCAAAGGACAGTGCAGGAGCAAGCACAAAAGAATCTAAACTGATCCTGAGTAAGTGTAGACTGAAAATCAGGTTTCTAAACACAGGAGATACAAGGTTTTGGAATAATAATATCTGCAGATTTCTGGATAAGAAACTAAACTGACTTCAAGACAGAATGCGCTTAATTTATGGAAATGGTCATTAGATACATCTGGATACAACAGCTGAGAACCTTACTCCTCCTTCCAGGTCTCACATCCTACACATGTGCATGCACAGATCTACACACAGCCTCAGCACAACTGACTGTCCTAAGCAGAAGGAATGCTGAAAGTTAAAAAAAAAAAAAAAAAAAAAAAAAAAAAAAAAAAAAAAGCATTAAATTGTAACCAGGTAAAACACGGCAGCAGTAAAGACAATACTTGTGTGCGTTAAGGTAGAAAAATAAAGACATAAGAGACGGGTGTTGTTGCTTTCTGTTGAGGTGCTGAGCTCAGCTGCAGCAGTTGACAGGAAAACACATTCAGCAAAATTAACAAACGAGATCAAACAGGTCAGCAAGCAGCAAGTTACTGGAGAAAGAAGTCATAGGAAGAGATCAGTCATTGCATCAGTTTGCCTATGACAGAAGTTATAAATAAGACTTCAGATTTGCTTATACTGTTGCAAAAGAGGAACTGAAGAGAAAAAACTTCAAGACCCCATGACCCAAGGACTGGCCAACATCTGGCCGGGAGACTGCTGCACGAACACAGTAAAGGTTTTTATTTTGGCTGTCCAAGTTGTTGGCTTATTATGTTGAATGAATTCCCTGCCTAAACACACAGGCTGTAGTTTGGGAGAAGGAAGGGATTGTGCTGGAACTCCAGAGTGGGCTGTCATTAAGTGCCCTGCCAGAACAGCCGTAAGCCCAATCCTGATGCCCCCGGAGCAGGTACAAGAGCGTCCATTTGTAGTGGTTGCACATTACAACACAACAGAGCAGTAACTATTTTTAATATCTATATACTACCAGGGCTTTCAGTGCTTATGGCTCCCGTACAGACTCAAATCTCCCACCCCAACACCTTTGAGATATGTGAGAGAACATCCTGGGCAACTCCTTGTTGAGGCAGAGAAACAGCCATTGGAAGGGGGTGTAAAAGGGGTGGAGGGCAGCAGTATTTTCCATTTGGCAAACTCTTTTCATTTTAGCATCTTCAGTCACCTGTTGTCCTTTGAGCAGCGACTGAGCCCCTGACAACCTGCTGGTGGGAGGAAAGCATGCCCCAGCACACATTAGCAACCTAACAACTAGCTTTCATTTTTACCAGATGATATTAAAGCATGTCTTAATACACAGCCCACCAGAAGTATTAAAATTCACATCCAAGTCTGTAATAAAGATTTTCCAGACCTCCTGCATAAGAATGGTCTTTAATTATTCAGTACCATTACAGTGTATTAATGCCTGCTCTTTAAACCTTCTCTGATTCCAGTTCACAGCGCCTGCAAGGTGAACTTTAGCCTGGCTGGAGGCACGGGAGGAGCGCTCTCAGCATCTCAGCACTACTTTTGCTTTCAGACAAATGTTTTAAGCGCTCATTTGGAGAGCAACATGAGTCACCAAGCTCAGGTCATCCGGAGGTTTATCAGCAGTTATTTGGAGGTGCCTTTGTCTTTCAGTTCATTAACCTCTGCTCTTGAAGGAAGTGGGGAACATGCAAGCAACTGCTGATTAGTTTAGGGGTGGAGGTGGCTATTTAGAAATTTCTTGTAAGATCCAGAGTCTCTTAAGACATCTGATTCTTGAACTACCTTTTGGTGATGGAGGCTCTTAGCCTGAAAAATCACTGCAACAGTGGCTAGGAATTTCATACTATTTTAGTACACTGTTTGTGAACTACAAATAACTGTCTTTTTCATCTCACTTTGAAGTCTGTTCTTTTTCTAAAATGAAGGCAGAAACAGGAAGGGATTGAGTTTGTACAGCCCTCTGAAGAAGTCAACAAGTTTTCCACACCATCTTGAGCTCTCATCTTCGGGCTGTGACTTGCTTATCTCGAGGTAGTTACAGCCGTTCCCATCCTCAGCCACCCACTCTCCCCGTGGCCCTTGAGCTCTCAGTCTATTATGGAGAAGCCAAACCACCAAGAACTTACAGCCTGGCGCACAGAGTAATACCAAAAGCCACACTCACAGTCTTTGATAGATCATGACTTAACTTAGGCAGTTCCACAGGCACTTTGCAAGTGGCTACATCATCTCTGCAGCACAGACACGCAGATGTCTTAAGGGCAGGATGAGTACAGCACCCAGTAGGACACTGAATTGCAAAAGCCCGTATATGCAAGTCTAGAAAGCTGGGGAGGCGGTGCTATTTATTGTTCTACCCAGAGCGCTGATACAGGCTAGGCTATAACTGGTTGCCAAACAAGACCCTGAGCAGCTCCAAAGAGTGGGCTACAGCCGAGCCATGTCACTTGGACTATCGCAGCCGGAGCTTTGGTGCTGCGATAACACAGCTCTCCTGCTCCCACGTCCACGCTAGCTCATTCAGCATTAGCAGGGTAGCTCTACCCAGCAGTGCCTCAGGCAGCAGTTATCCCCTCAGGATTAGTATTTTTTTCCAGCTGGATACCTGACACTGCCTGCAAACTACAGAGCGTTTTCTATATGATATTCAAAAGACGGGTGAAATAATCCCTTAAACCTAGCCACGAAGTACACAGCATTCCAGCGCGGCTCCGAACGACATGCAAAGACGATACGCCGCTCACAGCAAAAGGAACCGTTTACCCCATTCACCCCACGCAGACATATTCCAGCGACAAAGCATCTCGTTACAAGAAACCAAAGCACTTACTTCAATGATGCTGAGCCTCTCCACACTGGAGCCAACGTGGTACTCTGCTGATGTCTCGTGATACAAATCACCTGGAAGCACAGAGGTTTGAAACATCAGCACTGCAAGACACCATTTGGCAAAGACGCTCTATTTGTGCCAATGCCGCTCAGCTTCTTCTGCCTCATATCTCCTTTATTATTCCATCAAATTGCCCTCTCCCTCCCACCTGCCTCCTTCCACCTGAGAAGCCTGGGCAATACTGGGTCACTTATTTTCCAGCAATTTCTCATAACTTCAGTAAGCGCCGAGGACATTAGCAAGCTCTTCTCTCATTACAGCGACCCAGTACCATTGCTTTATTAAGAGCAGCAACAATGGAAAATCCCTGCACAACTGTCAGAAATGATTGGTTTGTGGGAAAATAAAAGGAATTGCTTGAACTGTGCTGGGGGAGCACAGATCTGATGTGTTCATGTATCTGGTGCCTACACAGACCGACTTTGTAGCAGAAAGCCTAAGTGTCATCTTCTACCGTGCTGCTACATGAATCGATCTGGCTGAGAAACTAGCTTCCTTTCAAAATTTCATAATGATGAGCAGAAAATAAAACCGAGGCAGATCCAGACAAGAACAAAGGATGGAGCAAGAGGAAAGAAGAGTCAGGAGAAATTCAAGACGGAGCTGGAATATTTCATCATTATACGAGAGAATCCTGGCTGTCACACAAAGGAGCCTAACCAACGTGGAAAATAAAAGAGAATCAAGAGCTATCCCAACTCCCACTGGGCAATTCTTTTTTAGCAGTGCTTGGCAGTCATTTTTATGCTCTGTCTCAGCTTCTCCTTTTGTGAGATGAGGATAACAAGTTTTACCTTTTTCAGAATGTGGCTGTAACAGTTACCTGGAAATACTGTAAAATATCACATGCAGTTTTTACTTAAAAAAAAAAAATTACCCTGGACATCATCGCATTCAGGGGTTTCAATTTTATCCATCAGATCATTGGAACTCCATTTGGTTATTTCTTTCGGGAACATTTCCTCATTGTCAGACAAGTCCTCTTTAAAAAAAAGAGATTTTTTGAGGGTCTCTCACACACACACACAAATAGGTATACAGACAAGAGCACAGAACAGAATTTTAAATAAAAGCAAGGTCCCATAACTCTATGTAATCTTAGAAACATTTGGATGGCTTAAGTCACAATAAAACATAATACTTTACCAGCTTTTGTTATACAGAAGCCAAAGCACCTTTTGAAAAGTAAACAAAATGTTTTAGTTGCATGTTTTTAACAAACAAAACTCCTAAAGCATGAAAAAAATAACATGGATTTTTAATGCTACCATTTCGGGTACCAAGTCTGACGTTTTTCTTGCCGTACTTTCTGGTGATGCTAAAGCAGCCAGAATACTCCAGTACGGGAGAGGACAAGGCAAGGTTTGCCGCTGGAATCCTCCCAGACCTGTTTGAAAGCTGCGGGATGTCTCCGGGGAAGCAGTGACAAGGATCACTATTGTGAATAGGACTGAGTATGTAAAAAGGCACGAGTAATAAAGGAAACGTGAACTCCCCAGGCTATCTTTAGCCTGATTTCCTTAGGAGATGAGACTTGTTTGACCACACTGAGTGCGAATGTCTGCCACTTCCCTCCTACTTCAGGATCTTCTGAATCCCCTGGCTCAGTTCAACTACAGCTGATAAAGAATAACCACCCCAAAAATACCATGCTCCTAGAAGTGTAATTAAAAGGAAGACACGTATAAAGGAGAGAGCCTATAAACCACCCCACAGTAGTATCTGAACATCAGAAAGATGAATAGCCCTGCTCTGTAGCAGACATCAGAGGAGTTAGCCCTCCGTTCTCCCCTAACCTGGCTGTCGGGCAGGTGAGCCTGGCAGGCAGGCTTGCGCTTCGTGCTGCTGGGCTGCAGAACCCTAATCCACCGCAGAGAAAGCCTGACGCGGGCAGAGTCCAGCCTTGCCTGTCCGCGGGCCTTTGCCGATACATCCGCATGGAAGCAAGCAGCTGAGCCCTGCAGAGGCATCACTAAACAGACCATTAGCAGCCGTAGCACTGGAAAAATTCATGCCAGTGCTCCCACCGGCCACCCCACGCACCCACCCTCATGACTGCTGGCCTGGGCTAGGTTATCCAACACATCTGGACTTCTCCCACGGGAGGCTGAGCTCCCTCTCAGCCCAAGCCTGAACACAGGGTGGCCAGTCTGGAGCTGAGAAAGGGCTCACAAAAATGTTTATGTCAAACCAGAGGATCTCTGAGACATCAGCAGCCTGATGGCTCCTTTATTGGGTGAGAGCATGGACCAGCGGAGTCAGGCAGGGCACCCTGCAGCCTCCACGCTCCGTGCATAATCCTGGCAGGTTCCTGGGAAGGAAACAGAGCCCAGAGCTCCCACTTGAACCCACGGGAAGCCAAACAACAGCAATTCAAGTCTTATGAAGATGTCTTTGGTATGGGTTGCTGGTTCCTTTTTTCATTTTTTTTCTCCTTTCTCTTTTCTTTTTTTACATTGAGGATGTACCTTTTACTGTTACAGAGGTTAAGTGCTTTCTAATTTATTTATTGTTCTGCACTTAGTATTTCTTTCCTGAAAATTTTAGGCTTGTAAATTTAATAAAGCATTATAAACATAATAATAACAGCAGTAATTACAGATGTCTTGAAGATCTAAAAGCTGTAATCTTCAGAGTCCTAGACTAGGATTCCCCCTTTCTTGTTGCTGTACAGTTACTAAGAAAATAATTAATTGGAAGAATCCTAGGATGGGTAACAAAAATATTATGAAATATATTTATCTTTTCAGCAAATCTGAGCAATATCTTAAAAAAAATAAAAATGGAGGGAACTAAGTGCAGAGCCAAGCAAAGACCAATTATTTTTAGGAGTTTCTATTTACACTTTGACCATAAAAAGAGAGTGACCTGGAAACTTTGCATCAGCATGCCACTTCCTTTTTCAGCTATGGAAAAAATTTGAGTAAATCCCCATTTCCCTGCACAAGGGAGCGCAGAGCTACCTGTCCAGAGCAAGCGGAAAGCACAAGCGTGCAACACACATGCTGGCAGAGAATTAAGAGGAAGATTGCACTCAAAGCTTCTCTAGCAACTTAATCTAAATATTAAACTTATTTCTTCGAGAGGCTTAATTACAGCCCTTATTGCTGCTCAAGTAATCATTGAATAGGATATTTCTCCTGTTATTAGCATTTATTACAGGATAGAAATTAGATATTACTGTATTTGTCACTATCTTTACCAGAGTATGCCAGTGAACGAGGATGAGTGGAAGCCCGCGACAAGAAATCTTCTCGGGCTCAGGTTACGCCCACCGCACTGCGAGGAAATGTGTGTGTATGTATGGGAAGCCCTTCTGAGGAACTCTGCTCGGCGTTGACTCACATCCTCATCCGTCCCAGTTCCCATGGTACCGACCCCGCAAGCCTCCCCGGCAGGATGCGCTGCAAGCGGTGCTTCGTCCCTGCTCACAGACCTGGAGCTGGGACGTGGCATCTGCGGGCCAAGGGGCGATAAGAGGTCCCTCCCGAAGGGAGGGCTGTGTTGAACGGCACACGCATGACAGCTTCAACTCATAAGCCAAAATCCCATCAGGCTAGGCAGACTTTTCAAACCCAACTGTGCGGATTGCGGAGGACAATCTGTACATAGATGGAGACACGCTGTGCGCTAGCAGAAGAGGAGCTGCTTTTTCTGTTACCAAGCTCCTCGAAGTATTACAACAGAGGTGCTGTGTAACTGTGGCACAAGGCTCATTTTTGTTAATCCTCCTTCCCAGGCCTGTTAGGAGCACATCAGGGATTCCCTGGGGGCCTGGAACCCAGGCAGAGCCATCTCTATCTCAATTTTATTACCGAGTAATTAAAAAGGCAAAAAAGAGCGTGGATAGCAATGACGCCGTTTTGATGACTCACTCCTCTTTACTTGTATGTATATTGCTGCAATAAATCCCTTACACAGTTTTTGTAGATGCTACATAAGTTAATAAATGGAGATACTTAAACTAAGTTGGCCCTTCTCCTTCCAGGCAAGAGACACATCCATCCCCGACTTGCACGCATCCTGGCCACTAAAGCTGCTATCGTGCGAGTCACTGCTCCACAATAGCATGCCGCTTTCTACCCCAGAATTTGAGATGTATGCCTAAATACTTGATGCGAGAACTCTTCTGGAACACGATACGACTCATTTTTTGAGTCTGAACTTTAGCTGAACATCAGTGAAATTCTGCTTTACAAAACTGGGGTGTGATCTTCTAACAACTGCATTTCACGGAAAGGTCACCAACTTCATCAGCACACGTCGTGCATCTACCTTAGATTAGCATTACCAGCCAAGAGAAGAGTCCATCTGTTGTCAGCAGAGATGGAGCCTTTCAGGCTTAAAGACGCATTAAGTACAATATATAAAATGAGTGCAGTGGAACAAAGCTTCTTCACACACACATGCACAGAGAAAAAAAAAACCAAAACGCAGCTTTCTCCTAATACAGACAGTCAAAATTACTTTAAGAATCCTGGAAATCAACACTGATTAATTTTGGCACCTTAAGTACCTTGCTGCATTCATTATTGTATTTCTTCAACAGGAGAATAAGGAGTTAAGAAAGGCAAACTTGGGTCTCTTCAGGCCCAGACAGGACAATTAATCATACCTTTTACCGATTAAAAAATAAATTAGAAAAATAATCAGTCATATTGAATCAGAATCATTATGACACATCCACAGTCCAGTTCATATTGCTGAATTTTACCCACATTCATTTGCACCAAACAAAATACAGCTCCAAAGGTTAAGACTGTTCAAGATCCCTTGAAGTAGATCACACCGAATCTGAAATGTTGCTGCATTAAATATAAGAGTCTGCTGGATGATGCTGGTGATGCTCAAAGAAGCTGCACTGATGCTGCACGTATCTTGGTTAGAACAGACTTCAAACAAAGCAGCAAAAGTCTCGCTTCCTTCCCCGCTCACCCCCCGCCCTCATGCCTTCCGTTCTCTTACCCCACCATTTCAGGAAACAAACGATGGTGATTTAGGCTCCACATACCATGTGCATCAAAGAATTCATCATCTGAGCTGTCATCTGAATCCCTGGCAATGCTCTGCATCCTCCACTCGGAGATACTATGGCGTGAGGGACTTGCTGGAAAAAACAAAAAAGCCTTATGCGATACGCTACATCGACAAGACAGAGAGTTCCCAACATGATCTTTGCTGGAGGAAGAGTCGTGTGTTCTCTATGAAAATTCACTGCTGCAATATTAAAAACACAAAACCCCGATGATGCTGGTGTGATGTCAGTGTACCGCTTTACAGATCCTGTTTGTTTACTGTTGTTAGAACCTGCCAGCAAGATGCTACATTAAAGCAAGCTGTTTGTATCACTCTTATGCTATTTTGAATGGCAGCTATTTATAATTGTTAGTAGGACGTGCAAAATCAGCTGGGTTTTAAAGTTTGCAATTAGGAAGGAAGCAGGCTGATTGGAAGCTTTCTTCGTGCCTCTAATCAGCACACAAACCATGCCTCTGCTTCGCTAACTTTCGTGTGGGTAGCTAAGCAGAGCAGCCTGGATAGAAATAATCTGTTTTCTGGAAGGAAATTGCTTCCACACAAATTGAATTAGAGATCTATTTAAACTTTAAACTTGAATGATTTAAACAACATGCTATCCAACTACTTCATAGGGAGCTGTCAGAGCAGCTGTCCTGACAGTGAGGAGAAAACCCAATGGTCCTTTCGTTCCTGTTTGCCCTCCTGTTCTCACACCCACCTGCTTTTCATTTTCCCCTCCAGAGTTCCTCGTGCTAAATATAAACATACTACCTTTTTTCTTCTCTTTTTTCTTTTTTTTTTTCCAGATATAATTTAGCAATGATCCAACCTGAGCTCTTCTTGGCTGAACTTGTTACAGAACAGCCGCCTGTCCAGAGAACGACGGGCGAGAGGGTTTCTCCCCTCTTTCAGATGGCTCTCGCGTGTCACACAGCGCACACAAAGCACTTGCAGCAGCCACCGAGCCTAACACTGCAAAAAACCTGAGGAGACTGACAAATTCTCATTTAGCATATACAAAGACGCTGAAAGGTTCTGGTTACTGTGACAGCTGCACGAGCCGTTTCGTGCTATTGTTGTAACAGTGTTAAATCTGTAAGTCAAATTCTTCAATTTTTGCTACCCGGGTTGTCAGATGGAAGGAGGATGGAGACCCTGTGCAGAGTCATCTAATTGCAGCTCAGCCTTGGCTCAGCAGCCCCCAACCACCCCACCGCCCACCCCTCAGGGAGCAGCAAGCGAGGAGGTTGGCAGAGCAGAGCTAATTCACGCTGGAGTGACGTCAAGGCACTCGCATAATAGTTGCTAAAAATAGAGCATATAATAACATATGGGATGGCAACGAGGGTCCTGCTATCACCAGAGGTCTCGCTCGGATGGTATAGAAAGGACCGAGATCTTTTGGAGAAAAGGCGTTGCTTTTTTCAGCTGGAGGTAGCGGTAAGTCGAGACAGCCCTCCTTGCTTCCATATGTTAATACGCTGCCAGCATGAAGAAGGATTAAAATATCTGCATGACGTACTTCCCAGCACATCACAATTCATTTCTTTCATTACTTTTTCTTGTAAAAGCAAAGACATTCTGCAGTTTAAGAGAAATTCGTGCTTTGCTACCAGTGAAAACCTTCAAGTGAAATCTTAAGAGGTCTGAAAACTACAGCTTCCAATGAACATGTCAGCTCTGGAAGAGGGGGTTCATAACAAGGAGCATAATGAGAGATGGGCACATCAACATAAAATCCTGGTGCAAGCAAAGTAGCCAGCATTTTTATCTTTATACAATGATTTATGAAGCATCTGGTAGGTTCTTCCCTGGGGCTCACTCCAGTGAGTCATCGCAAGGTAAAACTACTGCTCATCTCTCATTCACCCCGTGATGAAATCAGTGATAGGGTGGTAAATAAAAATGGAGACTCAACTCACAATATTTAGTGCATACGAGAGATGGAGAAGCTTCACTCACCCAGATGTCCCCTTCCACCGTCACTGGAAGAAATGCTGTCCCTTGGGGTTTTCAGAAAAATCAAGATTTTTTTTTTTGCCCTCTTGCTGTGACAGCTATTACCCAGCTATCAGCTGCGCTTGACTGAAAGGAGAGGGAATTGCTGAGAGTTCAAGCCTTCTGCCTGTAACTCGCTGAGGATTCACCCCTTTGTACAGAATGGTCTGAGGAAGGGAAGAGTTTAACACGGGGGGAAAAAAAAAAAAAGGTGACTGCCTAGGGAGAGGTGAATGACAAAATTCAGGACTCAAAGCTGAGTCCTTACAGGGGCTTTAACAGCAAAATCTGGAAATCTTGCTGAATGGTGTTTAAAAGGGAATACAAACACGATCCGTGGTCCCACCTAATCCCAGGCTGTGAAGTTTGGTTTCTGAACAGCTATCGCACATCACCACCAGTGGAAGGCAGCAGCCCCCACCCACTTTTCTGGGGGGTACTGCTTTAATTTCCTCAGTAGCTGATGGAGATGCTTCGCTGTGTGAGCTACACTGCAGCACCCATGGAAATGAAAACAGTGTGCAGGAATGTGTAACCCCAGCCACGGAGCATGGGGTGCCTGCTGGACCTGCCTCCTGGAAAACAAGAGACAGTTAAGAGTGACCCACAGCGGGGTCAGTTTCGTGCCACAGCAAAGCAGCAGACATCCAGAGAGGGAACACCACTGAAGGATGGGGCCTTAGAAAAGCCACCAGTGGCTCTTGGATAACAGGGACTAACTCTCTGCACCACTGTTTGTCGTCTTCTGAGACCCAACGCTGGTAGCCAGCTGCTGCCTGCTCTTCTACTGCTTTTTCAAAGTTATTTTGCTTTTGAGATTGGCAAGAATTCTGCCACGTGCCACTGAGTCACAGTTATGGGATGACTAGAAACATTCCCAAACCCATAACAGGTCACCTGAGAAGACTGAGCCTCCAACAGCAGCAGAGAAGGCCTCTGAGTTACAAGGAGAAATATGCATTGTCCCAAAGGTGCCAGCCACGAGACATACCTCCCAAAAGCCCAACCTCCATACAGTTCAAGTCATCATCAGCATCTTACCTCCTCTCTTTGAAGATCGTGAGGACTTGGAAGACGTGGACCACTGCTTGGTGAGCGACCTCCCAGAGGCTGTTTCGCTGTTACCAGTGGTATCCTCTGTGTCAACAGGAGAAACTGCATTGGCTTCAACATCCTTCTCACCAGGAGTGTCTTTGACACCGTGCTGCTCAGTATCATTTTCACTGCAGAATTGGGCCATCTTCTGAGCCAGCATCAGCTGAGCTTCTTTCTCCAGCTGCCGGATATCCTCAATAGTGAGCCCATACCACTCGTCCTGCCAGCACCAAGCCTGCCGATGGGCACGGACCATGACCTTCCGCAAGCCTGCAAAGCCAGAACATCCCAGTCACCACTGCTACAAAATGGCAAGAATCAATGCATTCCCTTCCCCAAAATCTCAAGACGTCGTGCCAAGGATATTACGGTGGCATCAACAACATGATCCTATAAGCTGCACTAAAGCACTTTCATATAGCAAGAATTGGGATGGCAAATCGGTCACTTCATATACTTTATCTCCTCAATTCTTGCTAACCAACCATGCACGGAAAAATTAGCCAGTCTTCTGTGACTGCTTTTAACTTGGGAAGGGATTTCCTAATTCTGGATCCAGGAATTTGCTCTGTGACTGCCTGCTCCACCAACAAGAAGCCAGGCTCAGACCACAATTGCAACTCCCATGAAATTCTGGGAAGTTGTAACATTTGGATCCAGCCTTCAAAGTGAGGTATGCTCCCAGAAAGGGGACACACACAAAAAACCCCCAAAAAACCCCACAAACCCAAAACCAACATCAATAACAAAAAACCCACTGTTTTGTTGGTTTTGGTTTTTTTTTAATCCAGGAGACTTTCAAGTGGTTCCTTAATGAACACTACATAGCCCACCACAATTGTTACATGATGGAAGCACATCCAACATCAGCAGTGCTAAGGTGAAAATCTCTCCCTTTCCTTGGAAACCTGGTTTCTGCACCTGCTTTCTATATATCAGCGAAACAGTATCACAAATACGACCTTCTGAGATAATGGGATGGGAAGCAAAGTCAGGGAGGGAACAAAGATGCTCTATTTTGCAGATACCATCTGTCTTCTTCTGCATGAGAAAAATGAAGCAGGTTAAAGCCAATTTAAAATATTTCAACATATCACATATCTAAAAGGAAGAACCGTCTCAATATCAACACGCAATGCTCCTGACCAGGCAACAGAAACTTTCCTCCAAGACTTAAACTTGTTGACTAACATCATCATACCACCAAGACTTTTAAAACAGTATAGTCACTCAGGATTTTCGACCAATATTATTATTATTTAAAAGCTCACGACAGGTCAAAGCTCCAAACTGCTATTTATTACTGATGGGAGCACACAGCAGTAAGGGTGTTTTTAAAAGCTTCTATAAATACTGACGAACTAATCCTCAGGAGCCCTTCTGAAAAAAGTAATTAAAAAAATCAATTCATATTGTCCTCCCTTTAATTACTGGGAAACTGAGGCAGAGATGGGTTGAAGGACATGCCAAAAGCAGCAGTGGGATTATGGATCCACAGCCTTCCGCTGCTAAGCCTGGAGCAGAGACATACTGTGCCGAAAAGCTGGCAGGCAGAGTAGCCAACCTCTCATTCCATTGAAGACCCTGGCCAAAGACCACAGGCCACACCACCACCACTGCTATTACAAGCTAGAGAGCAATCAACAGGCTACGTTAAAATTATTTAGGTTTTGGGAGCTGCAAATCGAGCTCTCTAAGCACCACCAAGAGTAACAATGGCCCTTGTAAGCCACCCTCCAATGCCAGGAGCGTGGCCAAAGCTGGATGGTCCACTCCTAAGGTGTTTCCAGCAATGTTTGCTTCACTGCTGTACAGTAAGTCTTAGATCTCACTACTGCTACGGTTTCTGTGATCTTCAGCCTAAATATCCCTTTTGTTTTCAACAATCACTTTTTCTTTTTCTTTTTTTTTTTTAAATCGTACAAAAAGCCAATTTTTATACAGTTATTTTCTTCCAGGCCTGAGCACTTTGTTTTCTGCTCTGTGCTTTGGTTAGTTCTTAATCCTGCCAGCCATCACAAGTCAACCTATCCGGAGGAAATAACCATTGAGATCAGTAGCTAATGTGATGGACCAGCTCAACCTGAACTTCATTTGCACAGTAAGATTACAGCTATCAATATTTTACGCATTTCTCTGCCTGACTTTCAGAAGGGAGCTCCATGGAGGAGAGACAAGTTTGAGCCAGCAGACTGTGACCTTCTGGGGGCTGAACAACAGGCCTCTGCAATTCTGTTCAACCTTAGTTGAGATTCAGAGTTATTTCCCCCACCAGATCATGCTTTGCAGAACTACAGGAGAACATTTTAGCCTTTTCACCTCCCGTTATGATTCACAATCCTTCAAGCTTAAAACCAAAGATTAAACTCTCATCACATTCACACTGAACGCCAAGGAAACACTTCCCTTGCTGTAATTCAGTCCCCAACACCACAACCATCCTTTGGACTTCCACATCGTCCACTTCTACCTTGCTTGAAACACCTTGAAACCACACTGTTGTGATCAGACACAGAAGCGGAACAGCCCCCTCGCTCTCATCCCAAGGCTTCCTCCGTTCCAGGGCTCAGCAGCCTCTGCTCGTGCTCCTGGATCCAGCCTTGATATATCAATGCACCAGCTCCTCAGAAATCCTGTGTAAAGGCACAGATGCCACCGACTGCATACCTTTGTTTTAATGGACTAACATCATAGGGAACATGAAAACCCTCTGGGGGTAAAAAAAAGTCTCCTGAAGTTCCTCTCTGCCTTCTCTCACTTAATCTCTTAGATCACAAAAATCACCTGTATTGCTTTTTCCCAACCCACAGACCTCCCCACATCTGCACCGCTCACATCACTTTGATTAGACATCCCAAATCACCCTTCCTTAAAGCCTTGTTCTTTTGAAAACAGGATGGCATTACAGGGCTTCGTGGCTGTTGTGCCTCTATCACTCCCGATTAGTTATGTAGTCAAAAAGACAGATTATTTTCCTAGCCTCTGGCCTTCACCTGGGATGTGTCAGCAATGCAGCATTTCTCTTTCTCAAGCACAGTGAGAAACCCTGAAAGAGAGTCAGGCTGTCCAAGTACAAAAGAAATTGAAAAATAAAAGTCATGGCTTGCAAAAAATATCTCTACTGCTAGGGATGGAAAACTTGAGCAGTCCCTCGGTGCACAGCAGTGAGTATATCACTGAATTAATCTTCAGCCTGCAGCGCTGAAGCTTTCCAGTAGGCAGCAGAGACCCAGAGGACGCACCGCGTGCCCCCACGCAGCTATATGGATTCAAGATCCAGCTATAAATGACTGACCTCACCTGTCTGGACACTGCTTCCCTCCTTGTGCAATGGAAAAAAAAAAAATAATCAAGCCTTAAAGCATTTTTTCTCAAAATGTTAGAGAAAAAACAAGCTTTTTATTTGAAAAGTGAAAAGGAGGGGACAGATCAGACCCAGGAAACAGATTGTAATTGGGAAAAATTCTCTTTTTAACAGATCAGAGATGCCCATCAAGAAGTGCTGAAGGCATCTGTGGTCCAGTTCACTTTTCTTTTTCTCTCTGGCAGGAGGGGAGATGCAAACGTCTCCTGCTCAGCCCAAGAAGTCCCTGTCCCACACTCAGTCCCACACACTGTGCTTTCAAGCTGTGCTTCACAGCTGGCAGTTTGCCTTGCAAGCCTGTGGCATGCTGCTCCAGCTAGCGGGAGCTGGCCAGGGTGACAGGTTGGGTGCAGCATCCCACTGGTCACCTTATTCTGGGTCGGACAGAATGCAACAAGCCCAGTGGAGGTGAGGCTCCAGGCAACGCAACGCTCCTCCATCCCCCATACCCCCATCTGCTGCAGGGTGTGTGCTTCCTTCTTGGCCACAGAGCAAACCAACCCAGCAGTAGGGAAGAATTCCAGGGCAGGAGATGGTCTCACAAAGAGGTGTCTCTGGTATTTAAAAAAACCCCAGGGAAACCACATGCACAAATGTACACATGCAGACTGAGTTCAGAAATACCCATCGCTGTGGTGTTGATTTAGTTATAACATTTTCCACTGCGTTGTGCAGAAAGATCATCTGTGAAGAGTATAGCAGGGTGCAAACATTTAAATCACTTGCCTTTCAACTCACCACCTCAACAACTCTGCTGCAGAGACTGGTTGAATCCGTGAGGTGCTGATTTGTGTAAATGATTTGCCTGCAGGTTGTGGTGTTGAACTTAATCTCACAAAAGGAAGTGTAAATGACCATGAGACAAGCCAGGACAGAGAGGACTCTTCAGCTGAATTTAAAAAGGTTTTGTTTATAGTTCTGGGTTTGTTTTTCACATTGAAGTAAAAATAGTAACTGAAACAAAAACTCAATGCAAAAAAAACCCTAAAAACCAAAAACCCCACCACCAAATCCTGCCCAAACCCCCTCAACTATCCATATAAAGCAATTGTTCAGATACCCATTGACTACATACCCAGTGGCAACATCCCAAAGCATTTTATAACGCACTCACAATTTCCTGGCAGCAGATAAAGGACGTCCGATTTCCCTCATGCAACACCATTTCCTTGAGAGTCACAACAGATCCCATAACCTCATCCATACAGTTCTGGTTGTCTGAATGTATTTGATCAAAAGTAACCTGCAGTTCTATGTGCTTGCTTCCCTACCTTCGCCTCTTCCGTTGCTCAGACCGTTCATGAAGAAAAGCCTGTGGTCACATCTGCGTCGTGCTATCTGCAACCTGCCTACCCTTGAAAAGACTCTACCTGCAGGCCCCAACAGGGAGTGCCCTTCAGGATGAACTTTCCATTTGAGGGCTTCAGTGAAACAGAAGTTCTGCAAAAGAACTTCCTAAAACTGCTCCTGCTTTATCACTGTGCAACAATTTGGGCATGGCTTAGGCAGAGCTCCAGTTACTGCGATGGGAACACACTTTGCTGTAGTATATAATCAATAACCCATACACAGTCAACATACTTGTTTAACAGCAAAAGAATCATGGCCCACGTGCACCATTAGGAAGCAAGTGGGAGCAGAACATTATACAGTGCCAGTCCAATTAAACTTAAAGAAAGGAGTAAAAAAAAGCATACAAATATTACAGTCAAGTAGACTAATAGCCCACAATGTTAGTCTGTGTCTCAGGCTGTCAAAGCACTGAGTAACTGTCCAATTAGTCATCAGAAAAAATGGCTGCTGCACTCAGCAAGACTGAGAACATTTCAACACCATCTCCCAGAGTTACTCCCTCTGTGCTCAGTAGCTTTTCCACATATCGCAATCCATCCGTCACTTAACTCAGACATGTTCTTCTTTCAAGCCATTCTCTAATTTTAGTTTGCATCACTAAAGGACTGCTCCCCTCCTCAGGCAGAGTTTGGATCCCACTCTTGGTTTCTGCCTCAGTTTTCTTGCTGGCTTGGTGACCCTGCACAGAGAGCACTATTTCCCCAAGAAACAAATTTGCAGAAGCTAGGAAGAGAGGAATCAGAAGACAAATGCCAAGGATGAGCTGGGCCACAAGAACATCTCTGGCACCTAAGCAGTGTGGTCCACTGTCTGGTTGCACAACACTTAAAGGTCTCCATCTGCTTTGGGTCACCAGTTGAAAACCTTCAAACTGGGATCAGCGTATAAGCCTGCTCAGTCATGTTGTAGCCCACACCTTTCCAACTTAAACATCCTCATACCTTGCTATCTTCGGTACACATGCTCTGGCACTTTTTCCACTCACTAATGGCTTCCCCATGGCTATCCCATTGCAGGGGAAGGCTACGCATCTTCTGTAGATAGGCAAGCTATCGCTTTTCACTCGCTCAACTTTGTCTTACCTTAAAGACTTTTCTGATTTCATGCATCTCAACCACTTTGAAAAACAGTATTTGCCATCATTATAACAGAGTGGAAAGGCTCTTGAAAGGCAGACAATGAGCTGGCTCGGCTCTCCGCAAAGCCTCAATCAAGAGGAAAATGGCAGGCAATCTTTCATGAAATACAAAAGAAACATTTCTAAGGGACCACAGTTTAATCTATGCCAAACACCTCTGAACAACTGGAAGAGTCACATGCTTCTTTTCCATTTAGCAGATACAATGGAGTTGTCATTCTGCCCCCATGTTTTGCAGTATACACTAAATTAACCCATGTCACCAAAACGCCGAGGGAGTTCATTGCAGAGAGCCACTTGTAATACAGTCTGTAACAGGTAAAAACTTCCATCTGGGGTAAAGTAAAACCAAAGGAGCTTTAAGAAGGCAACCTGTGACTACTCAGAGTGGTGCGCACTATGCTCCGCTGCTCTATCAGTGTTTTCCACAATAGCTCTCAGGAGCACGATATGACTGAAAAGAGCTATAAAATTACTTAATTATGCTAGCATCGGGCACTTCAGAGAAGCTTTGCATATCGAAAGGACAGCTGTAGAGGTCACGTAGGAGGATTTACTGTGTACAGAAAGCAGGTAGCATCCTTTAGACAGCCTTTCTTTGGCCTTTTCTTTGCTCAAGGACAGCTATAGCTCTGCACTTTTTTTTTTTTTTTTTTGAGATGAGAATGCTTGTTGAAAACATTCTTTAAGTTTTCCACCTGGCCATAGATCCTGTCTCCTGTGGCAAGGCTCAGAAACCGTATCAGTTGTGTTATAGATTTTCTGCAAAGAACAAATTACTGCCAACACAGCTACCACCTGGACTGTCTCCACTTAGTTACTTCTGGGACACAAACAATACCTCCTTAAAAGCATTGACCTAAGAATGATTCATCAATCAAAGCAGCACATTTACTCACAACTGAGAGCTGTCTATGACCTGTGGTGGGTTACAGCACAGAGAGGCGGGGAGCCCTGAACACCGCAGCCTGGGGGACAGAATGTTTGGCCACACAGAGACCCACTAGTGCTGCCACAAGGCAGGGAGAAACCAGGGACACTCCAGGGGGTTGTTTTCTGGAGCCACTTAAGACTCAGAAGTGAAGCTTATTTCTTTGAGCAGGATTTTGTTCACAATAAAGAAAACTGGCAGATTTTGAAAATAACCTGGCAAAATTTAACAGACAAAGCCTTGTTTAAAAAAGAGAGAATACAAGACCTTGCCTACACAGGACCTGAAGCCCTTTCAGTGGCTACACGTTGTTTGGATTCATACATACCATGATTATAAGTGACAGAATAACATGATTTTTTCCTGAACTGATCCACAGCTCTGCAAAAGAGTAAGTGGATCCGAGAATCTCTTCACAGACATGTCTTGGGATACGATACATTGCACATACCCCACCTTTGTGTTTCAATTCAGAAACGACATTAAGGAGCTGACAGAGAACTTTGCAAGACTATAAATGCTCACCAACATCATGGATAAATCGCTCGATTTTTGACTGCATCCCCCAGTATCTGAACTCGACTTTACACAGTTTATATGCACACATGATGGGGTATTTCCCAGGGTTGTTCTTGTACTCTTGAATCCAGTCTTCTGAGAGGGGGCCTCTTTTAGTCTTCACTGATTTATAGAGCTTTGGATCCTCCTCAGCTTTGTATTCATGTGGAGGGATAGGATCTTTAACAATATCAATAGGATCTACAGAAAGAGAATAGAAACAGTTAGACATTTCCTTGTCCTGAACAAAAGAAGAAAATACCATTTTTCAGGAGTCATTTCTGTTTTAGCAAGTACCAGAAGTATTACAGCAATTTAGTTTCTTTTTACTTACACTTAAACAACTGATATTTAAATTGTTTATACGTTGCTTCTGGGTAGTGATCAGCTCTGCCAGAGGGACTAGTACACACAGTTCCAGCAAGCAGAGGCTTTGCTCCAAATGTTTTTGCCTACAGTGACTGCAGATCCACAGCACTCTGGCAGATCTGCACATTCCGACTTTCCAGCTCCAAAAAGATCTTTTGCACATTCCATTTTTCAGCTTTTCTAATATCACTCACAGTGCTACAGCTCTGTCTCGTCTGAGACAGTTAACTACACTTGCCCTTTCTCAGCAGTGCTATGGAAGAGACACTACCCACAGAACGTCTTATCTTTGGAGTCCACCAAGTGGGGTTACTGGTAACTCCTCACATGCTATTGTCACACCAGATGTACTATAGAAGGCAGAAAGTTTAATGTAAGTCCAAATTGTTCTAATTAACACTTCACAATGGAGAAGTGGGAACTGCAATGGGAGAGGAATGAATGAACATATTTTAAAGACCTGCAACCCCCACCCCAGACCTCAGCAGCAGCATCTGAAGTTTGAATTGAAGGGCAGGATTGCACTTCCCAAGAAATGACAGCTCTTCTGACACTTCTCAGTGAGGCAGCATGACTCAAGCCTATTTGTTCAGTATGAAAACCTGACCAGACAGGCTTAGGAGTGAGGATAGTCAAACTGAAGTTCAAAACAAAGAAGTTTAAATCAAGGAACACTCAAGTAAAATTGCACGGGGTTGCTGCCATGTCCTCAAGGAGGCAGAGCAGCCACTAGATGTCCTTACCCAGAGCTCCCGCTGTGGCCAGCGCAGCCTGGGACTGCCAGAAGTCAGCCCCAGCTCAACACTTCTCCAGTCTCAGCAGCTTCAGAGCAAGGGATGTTTCAGTCCTGCATGGCTGTAATTACCAGCACCCCCTGCCACGCAGTCAGGTCTCCAGCAAATGCCATGGGCACAGGCTACGACGGACAGCAGGACAGAGGAATTGCTACGACACTTGCCATTCTCTGCCTGCTTATAACATGCTCCCTTTTGCCCTTTCTCCTTAAATCCTTACGTATATAAGGCTCATTAACCCAGTCTTCACTTACAAAGTTGAAGTGTTAACTTGCATGAGAGCAAGACAAAAAGCAGAGGAAGCAAAAATTAAATACACCTTCACGTTTCAGAAGTGCAGGTAGGTATGATTTTCATATACACAGCAATATTTTCCTCTTCTATGGTTATTTCTACTTATCACTCCAAAAAATCATTAGATATCTTACTCCCCTCAGGAGCTGCACAAATAAGACAGGAGAGCATCAGCTTCAATTTACAGACAGGGGACTCAAATGATTTCCATGTGATTTACATCAAGCCTAGAACAGAACTCAGGTGTCCTCACTTTACTGGGTGTAACCCTACCCAGCAGCCTGACACCAATGGGGTGCAGGTGTGTGTTTGGAGGAGGGGACAGGGGACAGACGGGGATGGACAGGCAGATGGGACATACCAAGCACAAAAAAAAGCAGAATAAAGGAAAAAATAAAAGAAAAAGGCTATTCACCTAGAATGGTTTGTCTTTTTTCTGCAGGAGAAAGGTTGAACACGTTGACATGCTCTCCTGGATCAGTTTTGTAGTAGGTCTCAATATCAATAGAGAACTTCTCCACAAAAGGACACGTATACCTGAAAGCGAGAACAATGCAGCTTAGAGTAAATCCCGCTCCGCTTGGCAAGCAGAGAAAATGCTTTCCTAAGATGTACAAAATCAGCCTGAAATCCAAGCCAGCCTTCAGTCATGTTTTATTTCAGATGTACTTAAAATACCAACTGTACAGATTAAAGAGATTTTCTTTAATAACTTCTTAAGACAGGAGCTTGCCTTGGACATGTGACTTCACTGGAACAGCTCTGATTTAGTAAAACCCCAAGCCCACAGCAAAGGGGTGTGCTCCCCATGAAGTGGTACATGGGTAACAGGTGAGAAGATACCAACATGCCCCACGCAGTTACTGGAGACCCACATTGACCGAGAAACAACTTCCCAGCTGGCACCAAGCAAGCAGAAAGCTTGAGGGGACCACCAAGTCATCTCACTTTGCAGAGACACTGACAAAAATCTGCAACTTAATTTGACAATGTCTCCTCCAGGATACTATTATCAGGACAGACTGTTTTTAAAGGAGCAGTTTTCAGCAGGGAGATAACTTTTGGGCCCTCTACACTGACAAGTTATGTTACGACACAGATACTAATACAAGGACACCCTGGAAACGCCCCTCTACCAGGAGAAATGCAGAGCTCTTGCCTGGAATCTACGGCAGAATAAAATATGGACTGGTTCTGTGCAGCGCCAGGTTTCCTGGCCAACTGATTGACTCATGGGCATTTCAAGAGAATAGATAAAAACAGACTGGAAGGGGACTTTAATCACTTGAAAGTCAGACAGCTCCATTATATTTAGCCAAGAGCAGCTGCCTGTATGCAGCTTTCCCCAGACTAATGTTACTTGTAGGGAACAGCAAAACCAGAACTATGAAACTTTTCTAGATTTTTTGATAAAAATCAAAATATCCATTAAAGCCTTTTTGTTATGAAAGATGACAACAATATCATACATGTACACCTGGAAAAGGGCAAATGCTCTAAACCAGAGTAACTGGCATAAAGGCTATTTATTCCAGGGTATCTGAAGTCCTCGCAGACAAAATCAGCTGAAACGAGGAGGTCCCAGAGGACTCCCCAGAGCCTCTGGCTCTCTTCCCTTCTCGGGGTGAAAACCATAGGATGTAGGTTTGTTATTTTCTAGCTAAATGACAGTAAGATAGTTCCCAGAAAAGAAGCACCAGATTTATTTAGTAAGATTTTTCTCTCCCCACACTTTCCCCTCTAGAACAAATTAATCCTGTCTTACTTGACAGTGTTCAGCATGACAACTGTCCTACCACTGTGTACATTTATAACTTCAGCGAGCTAGCAGATATCTGCAATGTTAAGTAGAACATGCAGTGCAGGATACAAGACTAAATAAAAAACATTCAAGATTTCCCACGCTTTGATGGACAAAACAGCTCACATTTTAGACCAACCAGCCACAAATTCTCAAGTATGTACACAGTCAGCTCAGGCAACACTCGCACTCCTGAGATTAAGCACTGTGTAAGAATTTTAGGACTTGATCCTAGTTTCTCTAAAGGATATTACTGGAGATGGAAGAGATGCCACTGCCACACAGAGTGACATCAAATCCTCTTTCTAAAGTAGAATCATACACTTGTTTAGGTTGGAAAAGACCTTTAAGATCATTGGGACCAACCATTAACCTAGCACTGCCAAGTCCCACTGAACCATGTCACTAAGCACCACCAGCTGAGGTCAGGCTGACAAGCCTGTAGTTCTCCGGATTCTCCTTCCAGCTCTTCTTGGAGATGGGTGTCATGTCAACCGGGACCTCCCTGGTTAGCCAGGATGAACCTCTGGGAGCTCCCTGGTTAGCCAGTAGGGAAACACCTCTGGACATCTTGATAAATTTTACCTTGTCCTTGTATAAGGGTAGGCATTCCATGACTCCTCTTCGACTCGCAGAGCTGCCTTGGGCAATATTGACCGAAACCAGCTGGGTATGTGCATACCAATGTGGTACACTTTGTGAGTATACTGCCCGTTGCCTCCTGGTCCATCCATGTACGGCCTGTTCTCCAAGATCTCTACTCCACTGCCTTCCCCACATGTCTCCTCTCTGCTCTTTTTCTGAAAGGGAAAATATATCACATAATTAATTCTTCTGGTGCATGGTACATACCAAGGTCTCAAAGCATGTGAACACTGGGGATGGTTTCTAGGACTCCTTTTGAACAACACTTCATCCAGACAGCAGAACTGTAGCAGCACCCTGGCAGCAAAACTACCAAACCTAGAGATCATAAAGGGAAGATTTAGAGACTCATCCGGCCAACACAGGAAGAGAGATCTGATTTATTAGGGGTTCTGTAAAAATCTGGATTTGGACACTAAGAGACAGTTTGAATGGAGACCTAAAGACACATCAGTTCCTGCTCCTAGAACAGGTTACACACGGCTCTTCCTGAGAGCACACTAAACCTTGGCTCCAGCTGTGAACCAAGCAAAAGCTTTTTGTGCTGTTGGATCAGCAGATGACATGGCGAAGGGGAGTTTGTCCAGTCTGGCAGATTCTTCTGGTGTTGTATCATCATGAAGAATCATACGCACGCTCAGCGTAACATCACAGTACTAAAAGCCATTTTATGACCTAAAACCACAGGATTTGGGGACTTGTTGCTTGTGGTCTGGCAGGGCAGCAGCTCTCCAAGAACAGCTTGGAGAATATGCGCTGCTAATTAAGATATTTAGAAGAAACAACCCGAGTTTGCCAGAATGCACACAGCACCCCCTGGCAGCCTCCATATTTTGGCTTATTTGTATTATTGTCCCTCATTGAGAAACCTGGCAAAAATTCCTTCAATAATAAAAAAAATTACTAATTTCAGTGCTTCTAAGAAGAGCTAGAGGCAAACCAAATATTTATTCATTTGTAACACATTTCAGCAGATTGGATGATGTATAACCTTCATCATTTCCAAACAACAGATTCATATTGTTAGTATTTTGAGTTTATTGTTTGCATTTGAGAGGACGGTACTTTGGAAATTAAGAAAAAAAAATGGAATTTTATACAAGAATCAACTGTGAAATATAACACAATAACAACCTCTCATTTTTGGCATTCAAACAATTCAAAGGATAACATGGTTTAACGGAAAATGATTAATAAGATGCAAGAGATCAGCTTCTCGTCTTTTGAGGACAGGATGATAAGCCAACACAGCTATTTAGAAGTAAATAGCCTTCTTTTTAAAGAACTCTCAAGTGATTTTAAATTTAAACAGCTGTAACCGACAATTCTAAATAACTGACAATCTAAATAGTAATTTTTTTTCCCCGCACTCCACAAACTGCAATAGTCCTGCAAAAGAAAAGCACTTTTTCACAGTTTATATCTAACATTCAGCTGGCAGTTCATTAAAACACACATCCTCTTAAAACAAATTACTGTCTTTCGGTTCTTATATAAGCACTGACCAAGTCCTGTACAAATATTTATGACAATAACATTAAATAATCTTGATGACCCAAAAATCTGGTTAATTCAAAGGTCTCAGAAAAGGCAGTAACCCAGCAGGCATAGCGAATGTGTCAGACTGAATAATAGCACAGCATCTGCTCTGAACAGTTGATACAAATTATGGAGATCTAGAGTTTTATTATATGGCAGAAGCACATAGAAATCATAAGCAGAGGAAATACAGGTTCTCTTCGTGCCAAATAATCACATGTAGAATCGTCCATCACCTGGATTTAAAACTCCATTCTAGACTGCACGGCTACCAGCAATTCCAAGGCAAATCTGCAAGTCCTCATTTGGGACCAAAACATATTTAGGAGTTTTTCAATTTCCAAAGAAACCCACAGCACCGAGCGGACTCAGCACCTCCTAGGACTGTCCCAAGCCAGACCTGCACTGAAGAACTGGGTCCCCAGATTTACAAATGCTTGTATTGAACTAGAAAACCAAAACACTGAAGATTTATTTTGTTTTAATAGCCATGGTTGATATAAAAATAGATAAAAACACCCTCTAGGGTTTCTTTCTCAGAATACAATTTCATACTCTTCCTTTCAGAGCTCCATCTGAGATATGCCTTGTCTTGCCTTCATCTAATAGCTCTCCACCTCTTGAAGCTCTTCAGAGGGCCATGCAAGGGACCAGCTGCTGCCATTAATATAAGCTTGAAGATTCAAGATCTTTTGCTGCTGATTCTGACTTCAGCTCCCATCAAACAGAGCAGCAGCAGCCAGGGAGCTCTCCTGCAATATGTGTTTCCTTTTACCAAAACCCCTGGCACCTCACCCTGCAGTACCATGTCACTCTGGCTTATTACAGCTCCCAAAACATGCCATTTTCTTCTGTTGCGTTTCCTGATGAAGATGAATCAAAGCACGAGGTTTCTCCCAACTTGATCCATTTGAGAAGACTAAAGACAAGCATTCGAAGCAAAATCAGGCTCTGATGGTCTCCTGAAGTGTGACTTCTCCATGAGAGGAAGACTCAAGCTGGGGTGAACAGGAGACAGACACTTGCTTATGCCCTCAGTCCCCAAACAGCACTGTTCTGATCCATGCCCTCATCAGCATTACCTATCTTTGGGGATGAAACACTCTCAGTCTCTGTGTAGGTTTCAACTGAGGAATCTATCTTTTTTTATTTCAACACAAGCAAAAATGATTTTCATCTGAAGCAGTTCAGAAAAACAACCTCCAATTCTTTCCTAACTGTGGGGCCTGATCCAGGCTCAGGAGGACGTCTGTTCAATCCTTTCTGGTTTGAAGCCCAGCAGTTGTCACAGCCCAGACACATACAGCTAACACTGACGTTCTCCACTTTTCTTTCCCCCATTTAGCCAATTTTGACAAAAATCTCTCTGCATGAAGACGAGCTGCCTGGTTCTCATCCTACAGCTAGAACCCTGGTGAACCTACAAGATCGGCCAATTTTTGCTTTACATGAATACCTCCATAAGCAGCTTTTCCACGTGACCTGGCAATGCACACACACAGCTTCTCAGAGCTGTCTGATCGCTGGAGATGTGATGGGTGGCACAGTGTTATGGTCCCAACACTTGGCGAGGGAAGGAACGAGGGAAAAACCCAAATCAACTGAGACTCTTCACGGAAGTTAGTTCGCATCCCACTTCTGATTTCTGGTTATTTTATTCACTTCTATGCACGTGCAGGAGACCGCAAACCCTGTTCTGAGGGCAGCGTGTGCTTCTTCCTTCAGCCTTTCCGGATGACCAATTCCAGCCCACAGCCTCTTTCACCCAGTTGCAAGCCTTAAGCAAATTTTGGCCCTACACATCCCTCCTGCTTGTCACTTACGTAGATAAGATATGATGAGGGACAGCAAGAACATCTTCTTAGATGAACATGAAATAAGAGCTGCACCTTTGCACGACGCAAAAGTCAGAGCTGCAAAGTTTGTATCCCAAACTATCTTTTGACTTCTGAGTCAGGCCAATTTATACTCAAAACACAACATAACTTACCACTGGGAAGGATAGTATGATCAAAGAAAAACTCCACACCATAAGGCCACACAAAGCCGCTTCCCAGCCCTGCATGCTCTCATACCTACCAGTTAGCTTGCTGAGGAGGCAACAAGACACACTGAAGTCAAAAAAGGACCAAACAAGTCATGTTAGAAGGTGAACAGTACAGTTAGTAACCAGTCACAAAGACAAAAAGAGGGTAAGTTTCTCAGACAATAAAAATAAAGACATCAGCCGCATGCACTCAAGAGACCAGGATGATACTCTGCACGTAAGTGGTGCTGTGAAAGTACAGCACTTATGGAAGTGAAGAGCAATTTGCTTTTCAACCATATAGTCTCTTCACGTCTATTGTGACTCAGCTACAGTGTGGAGAGGGCTTGTAACAAGGAAGCGGTCTGTAAACAACAATTAAAAAATAACCATTGATTAGGAAAGCATTTGGCTTGAAAAGTGTCTGACAAGCCCTCTCCAAAGAATATCTGTCTGCTGGGAGTGGTAGATGTGCAGGCATTTTAGGGTCACTCTGGAAGATTTCAGCTTCATAAGACCCATGCCCCATTGAGAAGTGAAGACTTTATTTAGCAGATTACCTGTGTTATCACCACTTGCTGCTAACTGACAACACTATCTTCCCTCTATAGAAATATCTGAGGAATGGTCCCCAACAAAATCAAAGAGTAGCTAACAGCCTTTATATGCAAGTTATCTAAGCCATAATCATAGTAAACGGTCTTATATTGTATTACAACAGGAAATCCAGTCATCCCTTTAGAAGTCCCCCTCTTCTGGTGATGACACTCCATGTTCTGCACAACCCCATCAATAGCTTTCCAGGACAGATGGTGACACAGATCCCTTCTAGCTAAAGTAATAGCATTAAATTACTCATAACAGGGAACCCAGAGAAGCAGATGCACCATGATTAGCAAGAATGCCAGTTACTTAAAGGCTTCTATTAAAATAAATCTTTTGGCACAGCAGCATAGCATGGGACACAGCACATGACCTCACCATAACAATCATAGAGGAATAATTCCCATGAATGTCATCTAAACATTAGGCTAGCCTAACCCCATTTATCATCTGCCCTTCACAACAGGAGACAAATGGCTGTAAACAAAGCCTTCCACTAGCAAAGACAAGTTGATCAGTTCTCAGATCTTCCATCCCCTTTCCCAGTCCGAAATGTGCCTCGCTACCAGCTAACAACATGCGGCACATCATGCAAAGCCTTAGTCCAGCAAACTCAACCTGGCACAGCTGAGTGGGACCAGGTGACTAAATGCAACTTGTATGTTTTTCTAATGGGGTACAGCTCAGTAAAGGAATGACGGTTGATGGCAACAGAAATCCTCACAACTTGAGTAGTCTCACTAGAGCTGGAGGAACTGAGCATTCACAGAACGAGAATGCAGAATGCTGGGTAAAACAGCTAAGATGTGCCCTATCATATCAGCTGGAGATATACAGAAGTCAGGCTGTGGAAATTAAACTTGCCTTTGTAGTGTTTTGCTACCAACCCCACCAACCAACGCAGTATTGCTCAGAAGAACACAGAGAAGAGTAATATCCTAAACCAACAGAGTCCTTCTCCTTGTGTTTCAGCCCCAAAATAAAGCA